CCTCCAGTGATGGAGCACACACAACTTCTGGAGGCAAAGTCGTTCCACTGGTTAATTGTTCTTCTCACTGTCTAATTTCTCCTTAGTTCTAGGTTGGATTTCTTCTTGATTGGTTTCCATCCATTGCTTCTTGTTCTGTGTTTCTGTCCTTTAGTCCAGGGGTCCCCAACCACCGGGCCCTGGACCGGTACCGGTCCGTGGATCATTTTCTACCGGGCCGCCGGTTTGCTGGGCAATCTTGTTTCGACGAGAAAGTGCTTCCGGGTGAGCTTTTCCGGTTGGAAAGCGGCGTTTGGGTCCTGAAGGAATCCTCGCGCCTTAGTTTCATTGAAGGGGGGGCGGCGGCTTCGAACGAAGAGCCGTCCCGATGGCGGAGGAGATTAAGAAAGCACAAAAAAGCACAAAAAAGGTACAAAGGAGGAGTTGAAGGTGGCGGGGAGAAGCGGGGGACGGCTGGCTGGCCGGTCGCTTGGCTCGCCTTGCCTTGTCATGCATGCTGATGCCGGTACCAGGCCACGGATCATTGTGTGATGCCAGTACCGGGCCGTGGCACAAAAAAGGTTGGGGGCCACTGCGTCAATCCCAATTTCAACTAGGACCACGATGACCCCAAGTCCTCTTTCTCGATTTCCCAACTCAATTTTTCCATTTCCTGTCTGACAACACACACACACACACACACACACACTTTACACAGAAAAAAAAATCCCCTCCAGAATTGCTTACCTCCATCAAATCAATCAGCCACAAGAGTCTCTCCTGGCCATGTGGGTTGAATTGACGTGGACACAGCGTGCAATAGATGGGAAAGGTGGAGAGGAAGAAATAGGTTAGAAGCTTAAAAAAGTGAAAATGCAATCTAAGCAAAACCCAGGCAGAGCAATGTCCTTCCCCCCCCCCTTATCACCCTCTGATGAAAGTAGATTGACTTTCAAAATGGGTTCCGGAGGGAGAAGTTGAACGCTGAAATGTGACAGGTCTGTATTTATTGGATTGGAAATTGGCCGAGCTCTCCCTGGAGAAAGCCATTCCTTCCAGTGAAAACCCCATATATTGCACAGGTCAGAAGGTGGGCTGAAAAAATATCTACAGGCCCCTCACACCCTGGACATAAACTGTTTCAACTCCTCCCCTTGGGACGGTGCCGTAAGGCATTACACGCCAAAACAACCAGACACGGAAGCAGTTTTCCACCAACACCCCGCCACCGCTCTGCTGAACACCTAATCTTCACAGTAGTGTTTTATGTCTATTTATCCATGTTATGTGGCTGTAGTATTGTTATTATCCTTCTTATCATCTTCTTTACTCCCCCCTTTTATTGGTATTATTATTGTTGTTGTTGTTATGATGGTGGTGATGGTGATGTTGTTGTTGTTTTGCATGTACACGAGTGCTTCTGGACCGGAGACAAATCCCTTGTGTGTATAATCAGACTTGGCCAAATAAAACTCTTCTCTCCTCTCCTCTTTTTTTTCTCTTTCTCCTCTCCTCTCCTCTCTTCTTTCCTCTTCTCTTCTATTCTCCTCTACTCTCAACTCACCTCATGTCCTCCTTCCTTCTTTCCTCCCTCCCTCCTCTCTCATTCACTATGAGAATCCCTTCCTTCCTTCCCCTTTCCTCCCCTCTCCTCTGCCTTTCCTTCTTCCTTCCTTCCTTCTCCTCTCCTCTGCCCTTCCTTCCTTTCTCACTTCTTCTTTCCTCCCCCTTCCTTCCTTCCTTCCTTCCTTCCTCCCTCCCTCCCTCCCTCCCTCCCTTCCTTCCTTCCTTCCTTCCTTCCTTCCTTCCTTCCTTCCTTCCTTCCTTCCTTCCCCTCCTGTCCCTTTCTCTCCTCTCCTCTGTTCCCCTCCCCCTGCCACTAACCACCTTTGACTTAAACAGCCACAGGTTTTCAAACTGTTCGAGTTGGTTTTACACGGCTGGGTCGGCTGTCAACAAGAAAGAGAGTGATTGGATTTCAGTTTGTTTTAGCAGATCGATCGGGCTCTTGCTTGTTTTGCAAGATGGAAACTGCTTGGCGGAAAGACAGGATGGAGAAACGTTATCAAGGATGCCTCTGCAGAGAAAACTGGAGAGAAAAAGCAACGCCCCCTTTCTCCTCGCTTTCATCTGAGGCCTTTGGGCAGGTTCCTTCAGAAAAACCGGTGGGCGGCTGATGCAAGTTGATTAAAAGAAGGGTTTTGTTAATGCAATAGGACATTAAACAGGGAGGGACTCATTCCTACAAGGCTCGGGAAGGCCTGCTTCTAACTTGAATGGCCTTTGGCATAAGAGGAAGACTAATTTAGGAAAAGTAATTGCATCGTGCAATACAGCAGACCGGAGACAAAAGCAGAACATCTTTAAAAAAAAACACGATCTGCTTCTTCCCGTTGGTGAATTTTCCAGGCCGGCGTGGGAAAACACAAATGGATATTAAAAAGTCCTTTGCTTATTAAGAATCTTCCTAGCTGCTTCTGTTACTTGCAGCCAAAAAAAGGACATTCTAAAAAAAAATTATTTATGCTTTATTCAAAGGCATAAGATTTTGAAAGTGGCAGCAGCTCCCATCATCAGAAAAAAGCTTTGAATAAACACTGTTAGTTGGAAAAGATGTCCCGGGGCTTCTCTTGACTTTTCTGCTGCCTGTGACTAACACGGATCCCCTGGTGTAATATGTTCCTTGTGACGTCACAGTTTCAGGAGTGTGGCTTTTAATGAGAGGCGCTTTGTGTCCTGCACCTTGGAGGAGATACATAGAATCAAAAGTCTAAGTGCTAAGCGGTATATAAGTTTAAGTGCTACCCTGTTTCCCCCCAAAATACGACCTACCCTGAAAGTAAGCCCTAGCTTGATTTTTACACGTGCGCCCAATATAAGCCCTACCCCCCAAAATAAGCCCTAATTATGATCTTGCCCACTCCAGAGTGGACGGGTAAAAATTAAGCTAGGGTGGGGATGTGGGGGTGTGTGTGGAACTGCCCTACTACTTACCTTTGGACTGTTGTAGCCAGGCCTCACACACCCCGACACCTGCCTCGCCGGCCCATTTCTTCTGCAGCTGGCAAGGCTTTCCTGAAGGCCTCCATAGCTGAGAACAAAACTCCGGATCGATCCAGAGTTATCGGCTGTTATCAGCTGCAGAGGCCTTCAGGAAAACCTCGCCGGCCGCAGAAGAACATGTTCCTGAAGGCCTCTGACAGCAAAAAGGGGCGATGCAACCAAGTGAGGTTAGTCAGTGGATGACATCCCCCCCAAAATAAGACCTGGTGCCTTTTTTTTGGTGGGGAAAAATATAAGACAGGGTCTTATTTTCAAGGAAACATCGGCATTGCTATTCAAAGGACTCCCTTCACGGCTGCCTCGAATACTCAACCTCTTTGCTGTGGCTTTCAGGAGTTCAGGCATTCAGCAACCTGCTCTGTCAAACAGCCTTTCTCTCCCGGAGCCTGCTAATGAGGCTTTGATGAAAGGTGTTTTTATTACCAGCAAATTGATTTCATGGCCCTCAGGGCTGCAGCACATTTTTTAAAAAGGCGATTACGCTAACTTCCTTTGGATGGGAGGGAAAACAAGATGCTGGCAGAAGATCCGGGTGTCTTCTTGATTTCCTGGAAAGAATCGATTTCCCCCTTTTATAATTCCTTCTCCCAGGGGCTTTTACCCTAGGCAGTTCTCAAATGTGGGTTTTTCTTTCTTTCTTTCTTTCTGTAATTGGAAGAAAAATCTTGGAATGTGGGAAAGAAGTGGCTGGCCAGGGGAAAATAAACTATATCTTTTCTATGTGGCTTCTGCTCTCTAAAAATTCTTTCTTCAGAAAAAAATGTTAAAAATGTTTTTCTCTCTCTCTCTCATCTATCTATCTCTATATCTATCAATCTCTATCTCTATGTCTCTCTCTATATATCTATCTATCTCTTTCGCTATATCTCTAACTATGTATATGTCTCTCTCTGTATGTATGTATGTATGTATGTATGTATGTATGTATATATGTCTCTATGTCTCTGTCTATCTATCTATCTATCTATCTATCTATCTATCTATCTATCTATCTATCATCTATCTATCTATCTATCTATCTATCTATCTATCTATCTATCTATCTATCTATCTATCTATTCTATCTGCAGTATCTATCATCTATTTATCCAGCATCTATCTGCAGTATCTATCTATCTATCATCTATCTGTCTGTCTATCTGTCTATCTATCTATCTATCTATCTATCTATCTATCTATCTATCTATCTATTCTATCTGCAGTATCTATCATCTATTTATCCAGCATCTATCTGCAGTATCTATCTATCTATCATCTATCTGTCTGTCTATCTGTCTGTCTATCTGTCTGTCTATCTATCTATCTCTATCTATCTATCTATCTATCTATCTCTATCTATCTATCTATCTATCTATCTATCTATCTATCTATCTATCTATCTATCTATCTATCTATCTATCTCTATCTATATCTATCTATCTATCATCTATCTATATCTATCTATCTATCTATCTATCTATCTATCTATCTATCTATCTATCTATCTATCTATCTATCTATCTATCTAAAAATAGCTTTACATTTTAAAGCTACTGCACAGTAAGTATATATACTGGCAAGAAACCCCATCCTCCCTCACACTGATGATGTTGCTTAATTGGGTCACGCAATGTCTGCAAGAAAACAACCAAAGCTCAGTGCCACTGTATATAGGACAGGGAGCAAATCGCACTCACTAGCACTGATGATGTTCCCTAGTTGGATAATGAAACATCTGCAAGAAAGCCACCAAGCTCAGAGCTACTGTATACAGTATATTCAGGCAGCAAACCCCACCCTCGCCAGCACTGACAATGTTACATAGTCAGGAACTGAAAGGTCTGCAAGAAGACAACCGACCTCAGGGAGCGCCAAGAATTCCACAGTGGTTTTACCTGGAGGATCACGGACTTCCTGTTTAATTTGGGTCAACTAAATCTTTGCTAGCTTCTCAGCTCCATTCATTGTGATATTCTTTGCAAGTCAGGGGCAGCTGTATTTTCTATTCAGGTAAGTCCTCGATTTTACAGCATTTTTGCCCCATTTTTTTTGCCACAGTCATTAAGGGAATCACCATAGTTGATAAGTTAGTAACTCAGTAATTAAGGGAAGCTGGCTTCCCCATTTATTTCGCAGAAGGGGACACAGCGATGGTCGTAAGTAGGAGTCAGTGGCTGAGAATTTTGATCAGGTGACCATTGTGGAAGCTTATAGTGTGAAAAACGGTCCCAAGTCACTTTTTCCCCCCAGTGCCATTGTAACTTGGACTGGTCACTAAACGAACCATTAGAAGTCGAGCAGTGGTGGGATTCAAATTTTTTTTACTACCAGTTCTGTGGGTGAGGCTTGGTGGGCATGGTTTGGTGGGTGTGGCAGGGGAAGGATATTGCAAAATCTCCATTCCCTCCCCACCCCACTAACCTGCTTTACAGCTCCGTTCTCCTGTGCAGGGCAACCAAAGAAGACCCAGCCGATCAGCTGGGACTCAATGGGAGGCAGAGAAGAGATGGGGTTGGTGGGGCCAGTCAGAGGTGGTATTGGCTAGTTCTCCAAACTACTCAAAATTTCCGCTACCGGTTCTCCAGAACTGGTTAGAACCTGCTGAATAACCACCCCTGAAGTCGAGGACTACCGGCGTAAGGGGACAGGGACATAGTGGGCCAAAATTGGAGAGCCGAGCCTGAGACAACCATACCTACCCGAGCTGAACTAGCCGTGGTAGATGTAAAATGGCTTTCGGTACACGAGGCAGAATTGCTGTAGGAGGTTGTAGTAGAGTAACAGTCGGTTCCTGTCCCGGAGGGCTGCCGGGCCTTCATAAATTCTATTTCCCTCTTAAGAACCAAGTTGTCAAAATGGTCCAGGTCTTGTGGAGCTATCACCCCTCTGACCTCCGACAGGAGGGAGAACTGCAGAAACGAGACAGGGAAATGGGAGGGGTGGGGGTGGTTTGAAACCGTACCGGACGGAAGGATGCCATGCACACATTGCGTATCTCTATCTACGTTGATTCAACCTAGAAATAAGGAGGTATTTTCTGACAGTGAGGACTGACAGTGGAACAGAAGTTGCCTTCGGAAGTTGTGGGAGCTTCATCCCTGGAGTCTCTCCAAAAGAAATTGGACTGCCATCTGTCAGAAATGGGGTAGGATCTTCTTTTAGGGCAGCAGGGGGGGGGGGGGGTTGGACTAGGTTGACCTACAAGGTCCCTTCCAACTCTATCATATATCTATAATCACGGCTGTGAGGGGTCCTTGGTGCTCTCTGAGTTTGTTGGTTTCCTTGCGGACGTTTCATTACCCACACTAGGTAACCTCATCCGTGCTAGAAGGGAGTTGTGGTAATAAGAGAAATAAGAGCAAACCCGACGCTCTTCTAGCACGGATGAGGTTACCTAGTTGGGTAATGAAATGTCTACAAGAAAACCACCAAACTCAGAGAGCATCTGATCTCTGATTCCATATCTGAAATTGGTGCGTTGCTCCCTCTTTTGCCCTCTGGGAAGCAGCCCCTCCCTCCCTCCTGGGACTCCAGATTACTTTCCACCACACTAACCTTGGCATGGGTGTTGAGCTGACAGTTTCTTTATTGCCGTTCACCTACAGACAGAATCTTGCCAGACTAAGAACCAAGAGCGACCCAGGAAAGATGCTTCTTAGCGGTTTCTTTATTGCAGTTCACCTACAGACAGAATCTTGCCAGACTAAAGTAGCTACCTGCATAAACTATAGACCCACTCTGTGAACTGCTAGGGAGGGACCCACATGACCCTTTTCCTGCCTACCAGACATTCCAGTCTCCGCTGCCTCTTTGCCCTCTGGGAAGCAGCCCCTCCTTTCTCTCCGGGGCATCCAGACTCCGTTCCACCACACTAACCTTGGCATGGGTGTTGAGCAGTTCAAAGAGAGCCATGATGAGGGAACCGATCGAGATGTTCTTCTCCTTATATTCATCCAGGTAGTAAGCCATGGTGGTCCTCTCGGGTTCATTCAGGAGGTGGCGTGCGTGTTCCTCCAGCATCACTCGGCTTTGGTTCACCAAGCTACTCAACGTTACTTGAGATCCTGTAAGACCTTTATAGAAGGATGGCTAGGAGGAGAGCAACAGAGCAGCTTTGGAGAATTAATTAGGATTACCCAAACCGTAGCCTATTAATTAATGAACATTCTTTGCAAGCAGTCCCCATAATACATACTGACAAGAGAAAGGAGGCTGGCTAATAGATGAAGCACACAATTACAACAAGAGGAATATGATAAATTTAAGGGATTTATAAGCGCTCGTATTTTCAGAATGACATTCACCAAAGCAATATATTTGAGGAATAACATTATTGTAGGCATTAAGCAGAAAATCTTCCTTTAGACTAAAATATCGGCTTCTTGTTTTACGGCACATGAATGTGAGTGGTTTTCTTAAAGACTGCTTGGGCCACACACATGCCCTTGTCCATTTAGCTAGAAATGTTTTTTTTTTTTTATAAAGTAGATCTCTTGATAATTGTTGCCTTTTAATTAGAGACGTTATGGATTCCACTTGAAGTCTGCTGTAGGCAAAATACCTAAGTGCCTTGGGTTCTTCTAATTAAGAGGTTTAGTATTCTGTGTGTAGGAGAAAAAGCAGGCAATTAAGGGAGGCGGAGTTAAGCACGTCATCAGCTTAGAATCGTTGCGTTCCCACAAGCATGTCCAACCCTTCCTTGAATTCCGCTGATCCTTATCTGGCACCAATTTAGTGTCGAACTTTAGTCGACCAGAATCCTGGGTATAGCTTGAATAAATCGATGCTGCAACCTTACAAACGGTCCTGATTCTTCGCGCCTGACACTGTGTTACAAAAATCAAGTTTCTAGCAGTGACGATTGTACTTTAAGGTGTGTGTGTGTATGCGTGTCCACGCATGCCCAAACACAACTTTCCATCTCACAAGGTCGCCCACATAGGGCGACCGTCTACAGAAAACCGAGAAGGCTTGCAAATAGAAGAATTCCAGGCATGGTTGGTCCAAAGTTATGCCTCTAGAAATCAGAATGTAAGATTAAAGTCGAAGTTCCAAATTGGCTTTCAGCCAATGGAAAGAGAGAGCAGAAATGCAGCGGTTTTCCAGATGCTGCTAAATGGGCAAGGCCTCTCCTCCCAGGCCAAGCTATCTGGGGCTATGGGGAATGAGTTGAAGAAACATCTGGAGGCTGAATATGTATTCAAGGTAGCACCAGGTCATTATTTTCCTTTCCTTGCATTTCAGCGGTGTTGCAAACGCTCAGCTGTCTCGTTACCTGCTAAGGCTCATGAATGCTGATGGGCACAGATTCAGCTTTAACCTTGACACCTTGGCATTCTTCCTTTGCAGTAATTTCTCCAGCACGAAGAAACCTGGATTTGAAAAAGGACCAGACGGTGGGAGTTGGATGGCCCTGAATCGCAGGGGAACCTGCTGAGAAGAAGCCCGCTACGCTGGAAGCATTGATTGGAAAGTAGCCCTTATTTCAAAATCAGGCTGATTGCTCGGTGGAGGGTGAAGCTCCTGCCCGCCTGCAGCTTCTCAGCCTGCGGGATAATCAGGACTGGCCATGAGACCATGAAGAAGGACTTGCTGGGTCTGTCCGTGGTTACCTTCACCCAGCGTTTGGTTTTCAAAGGGACCGAGTGAATGCCATGGGGTGCTTGTAAATAGAAGTTAGAGAGCTTCCCCTCCTCCTCTATTCTTCATTCTCCTCCTCCTCCTCTATTCTTCATTTTTCTCCTCTTCCTCCTCCTCTTCCTCCATTGTCCACCTCCTCGTCCTTCTCCTTTTCCTCTATTCTTCATTTTCCTCCCACTCTGCCTCTATTGTTCTTCTATTTTCCCTCTTCCTCCTCTATTCTTCCTCCATTCTTTTTCTCCTCTTCCTCCTCCTTTTCCTCCTTCCTCCATTCTCTACCTCCTTTTCCTTTTCTTCTCTTCTTCCTCCATTCTCTTCCTCTTCTTCCTCCTCCTTTTCCTCCCCCTCGGCCTCTATTATTCTATTCTCCCCCTTCCTCCTCCTCTATTCTTCCTTCATTCTTCTTCTCCTCTTCCTCCTCCTCCTTCCTCTATTCTCCCCCTCTTCCTCCTCCTTCTCCTCCTTTTCCTCCTCCTTTTCCTCCTCCTTTTCCTCTATTCTTCATTTTCCTCCCCCTCTGCCTCTATTATTCTTC